GAATTTGGAACATGTGAATTTGGAACATGTGACTTTTCACATGTGAATACATGTGAAATTATGTGTTTCACATGTGAAGTTTCACATGTGAAATTTCACATGTGAATTTGGAACATGTGAATTTGGAACATGTGACTTTTCACAACTTTCAAAACTTTGTTAAATGTTATCTTGGCCAAGCCGAACAATTTTATTCGTCAAAGGAAGTGCCTAGCTAGACACTACCCAAATGTTTCATGTTGATTTATTTAGATGCAATTTTCCCTAACACTTCCTACTTTAAATACTTTGATATTTAACTCTGACATGTCTCGCTAGACAATTTTGATTATCGACTGTGGACTACTTGCCAATATTTCACTTATTAACAACTATAAAGGGGCAATTTTCTCTTATGTTACCCACTTTAACTTATTTGTAGGCGTGTGCAGGATAGGGTCTTTTTCGCTATCCAGCCGGATACAGGATATGTTGGACAGTTGAAAAATATCCAGCCAGCAGATTCAACAGTGGTGTAACGTTATATCAGGAGGCACCCGGTTCGAAATTTTCGAAGGCCCCCCTAGTATAGAAGTGCCAAAGGCACGAGTCGAGCCAAAAAATTTCCGATTGACGAAAACAAATTCCGAATATTTTATGGCATACGAAGCGACGAAGGTGTTTGGTATCCGGAAAAGGAAGACGCATGCATTTACACATATACACAAATTTTGCACAGATATTTTACAATAGCATGCAGTGCTGTAGGAAGCTCTTTTTGATTGTGGGTAGAAAACAAGGGCCGAAGGGCAGAGGAAATGTTTTAATTTAGAGTCTTTGAAATGCCATTTCCTGGACTTTGGAGAAGTTTTGACAGAATTCTGATGGTTAGAAAACAGCGTTTCAGTATGTCGAAATTGACAAATTTGCTTACAATTTAATAGTACTATATGGGCGAAGCCGTATTTAATTAATTAACTATATATTAGGAAAGTATGGGTAATATTTGCAGTTTGTCATGGATAATATAGCCGCTTAAAATTAATTAATTGTCAGCATATTTCGAAGGTATATTATTTAAATGAGAAAGGTCTGCATGATTTTGAAAAAAGAATGATTATTAGCGAATTATTAGCAGCGCTGCAGCCCCCCGGTTGATACGGCACTGAGAAGTAATAAACCGAAAAACATTTACTGATTTACGATTTTTCAAATGGTATACATGTAAATGCCTTGATTTCATGAATCAGTTTATACTGACAATATATATTATATTTTCTCTGTTTAACCAACTAAACTTTTGTTATACTATTATTGCCACAATTATCCGATTGGCCAACTGATTTTCCGAATATGTTAATTCTAAAAAAGATATTTTGTAGAGAACTGACGTTGTGAACCGCCAAATTAAAGCGACAGTCTCACATGTAATCTTTTTGTCTGTAACTTCTGTGTTTAATACTTCGGTTATGTATGTTGTTCGAGAAGAAACTGTGCTGTGCGGTTCATCACGCGAATATACAAACTTTTAGACTGTCTAATTCTGTTACTTTGTGTTACTTACACATACAATTTTGATTATAAAGTCCACAGAAGTGCAATGATATATTTGGAGAACGCATGCAACCTTTGGGATAAACTACTTTAACCAAAACCCTCTTAGCATTACTCTCCACGTCTACACTGTAAAAACTGATTGGTTAAAATGACCAATTTGTTAGGTTGCAACCATTAGCAATTGGTCATTTTGACCAATTGTTTAAATAGTTAGTCGCATTTGACCAATTAAATTTGGTTCCTTTGACTATTACAAATTGGTCGAAAAAATTGGTCATCTTTCGACCAATTTATATAAGTTATTATAAGCAACTTTTTATTGGTCATTTCATTGAGAGTTCACTGTTAATTTCAAGGAGTTATTTCAACTCCACTGAGAATTAAAAATTGGGAGTGAAATTTTGAAGTTAAATTTACTCGGCCTACGTCTTCGATATATGCATTCGAACATATACTCCACTGAGGGTCAATTTAACTCCACTTGAAGGACTAAAATATAACGGAGTAAATTTTACTGGGATTGCCCTTCTGCTAAAAAAAAGAAAACTGCTGGAACGGAAAAAATATAAACGAAAGAGGTTCTGGGTGAGGAAAATCTTTGAAAGAAGAGACGAATTAAGACAATTTCATAGTTTAGTTAATGAACTTAATAATCTTAAGCAGTTTGCTTTCTTATTCTTGTCTTTGAAATTCTTTGACGCTCGGCAGCATTTTCTTTTTGAGCAATAACCTTCAGTTTAAGGCAGCCATCTTGCAAGATTAAAAACTCGCGCCGAAAAGCGCAGAAACTATCGGCGTTTGTCGGCGATAATCGCAGATAACCACAGTCTCTCATCGGGAAGTTGATTCGGCGATGATTGCCGATGAATTACGACATTTGAAAACCATGCTTAAGTATTTGCTATGTTGACACTTGACATGTATACTTTTATAATAATGTGATTTGTTTGAAATGAATAATTACACTATTGACGAATGGCCTTCATAAATTTCGAAACGTCGACTCGAGTTGTTTTTTAATTAAGGTAGTATTTTTACATTGGTACTACCCACACTGGTCAAGACAGTTTTAGTATATATTCACATTTATAGCATGTAGACAGCCTTTCCCAATGTATGGCTCTATCAGTCAGCCACTCAGCCTAAAACATGTGCAAGCGGCCACTTATACACTGTAAATCTGGGAGTGTTGCCACAACACCAAAATCGGTGTAAATTCTTGCCTGTGTGGGGACACCGAAAAGGTGTCAGTTAACACTGATTTTAGTGTTAATTTACACCTCTTCAGTGTAAATAGTTGTGTCTGTATCAACACCCATTTGGTGTTAATTTGCACCATCCTAGGTTATTTGACGCTGCTTTGGTGTAAATCGGCTTGCCTCTGTGGGGACACCAATTTGGTGTTTATTTACGCTGAGAGGGTAAACTTACACTATCCTAGGTTATTTAACGCTGCTTTGGTGTAAATCCGCTTGCCTCTGTGGGGACACCAATTTGGTGTTTGTTTACACTGAGAGAGTAAATTTACACTATCCTAGGTTACTTCACACTGCTTTGGTGTAAATCCGTTTGCCTCTGTGGGGACACCAATTTGGTGTTTATTTACACTGAGAGGGTAAACTTACACTGTCCTAGGTTATTTAACGCTGCTTTGGTGTAAATCCGCTTGCCTCTGTGGGAACACCAATTTGGTGTTTGTTTACACTGAGAGAGTAAACTTACACTGCCATAGGTTATCTAGCACTTCTTTGGTGTAAATCTACATTCCTCTGTGGCGACACCAAATTGGTGTAAAGTTACACCTCGAAAGTAAACTTACACTTCCTAAGGTTTAAATATGCTTGCAGTGCAAAGCTTACTTTCTAGCGTTCAATGTAATGTAATTATATTATACCAATGTAGTAACAGTTAAAAATAAATTTATTACAAATTTAAACTATAATTATTTTTAGAGTTTAAAACTATAGTCTATATATACATATTTTGATTCAATTGAATCATTTTAACAGTTTACATCAGTCACAGACTCACAATCCAAATTAAAGTTCATGTTACCAGTACAGGTGATTTGAAAACCAAAAGTCTTTGCTGAATGGCACTTTGACCCAGTCAAAAATGAGGACACGTCACTGTATAGCAGCGCACACAATCGACAAATGTTTTGCTGTAACTGTCCTTCGTTAAACATTAATGCATGGCCAACACGTTCCCTTGAAAAAATAATTATTTTGCATTACAGAATATTATGAAGAGTGCACTGCATCTTTTATGTGTTTATCAAACAACTTATAGATAAAACAAACTCAATCTAATAGTACTTTTGTTGGTGACGTGTCAGAGTAAATATTTGAGATTTTAAATAGGCAGAAAGTTTGGCTAAACAATCAATAGCTAACACTTTTTTAGGGGCATGCTACAATTTAACAGGGCGCATTGGCAAAGAGACTGGTTAAAAAATTAAGCAGAGGAGCATAAACTTTTCTGGCAGTAACATTTTAAGTCACAGTAAATAATAAACATAGTATATTAGACATTTTAAGTTTAATTGGAAGTTCTTTCCCATCATTTCAAATCAATATACTGTATTGTATTATAAAAATTATAGTGCTTTATAGAGATTTCGAGCACTGATAAAAGTGATAATCACACATGTGAGATTATTCATGATAATCTCACATGTGAAAATTATCACTTTTCAATTATCGCTTTTCTGTAAAAATTATCGCTTTCCAAAGACTGTCCTTTATATAATAAACAGAAAAATACATAGGTGCTTGGAAATACCAGATTTATTTCTTGTGTTGAACATGATATCTCACTTGTTCGCTGCGCTTACTCGTGAGATATCATGTTCAACACTCGAAATAAATCTGGTATTTCTGGCGCACCCATGTATTATTCTCTATATAAACAACATCACTTTATAGCCAATCTATATCCCATTTTAAATATCCTACATATATTTTATAATCACTGTATATCCAGTATGCGGCCGGAGAATCTGGTAGGATATTTTCCAACTATTCAGCATATCTGGTCTTCAGCTGGATGGCAAAATGCTTTAAGCGGTGCATCCCTAATGTATATTAATTATTATTAAATAATTTCATTCTTGTGGTAGTGGCCAGGGAAATATTATAACACACAACTCTAAAGCTATGATAAAAATTGTTCAAAATTCTAACTTCTTTTTAAGATGAGGCAATAGTGGGGTGTTTCTCCAGGGAACACATTTCTCCTGGTTTTTCAACCACAAATTTCCAACATTGATCAAGTTACAATTCTGAATAACCAGATAAAACTTTTTGCAATCCAGCCAGATTTCAGCTATTACGTATAGTTGAAGGATATCCGGTCAAATACTGTTGATATAATATAAGGTTTAGACTTTCATTTTTAAAGATAAATAATTATTTTAATTGGTTATAAAGTGAGGGTGTTTATAATACTTTGACTTTAAAATATATGTGAAATCATAGCAAAGAGCTTCACTCTAAACAAGGGTATTGCCAAAGCCTTG